ACACACACACACACACACACACACACACACACACACACACACACACACACACACACACACACACACACACACACACACACACACCTTTCACTTGGGTCTCATAGTCCGCTATGATCTCCTTATCCTTCTTGTATTTCATGGATGACATGTTTCCTCTCCGGGTGTCAGGGTGAGACCCCCTGTAAGTCGAGGACGCTCCCGGGTCTGTGGTGATGATCCCTCGGCTTGTTTGTGAGGCTGCAGCCCCCTTGTCCCTCGGCTTCTCCTGCGTCCCTCTCCTCCTCTACTCGCCGTGCATCCAGGGAGGACGGAACAAAAGCGTTCGAGAGCTTTACTTTGAAATCGTGGAAAAATCAGTGCAGGAGTCAGCGGTGCAATCTTGCATATTCTCCTCTTTTCCTCCTGCAAGGCGCTTTTCCCTCTTTCTCCTCCTCCTCCTCCTGCTGGTACCAGTCAACTCAAAAGGCTTCAGCAGGAGAAAAACACACAAAAGACACGAGCGAACTGAAAACTGCGATAAGAGCCTGATGAAGAGACAGAGAGGAGAGGTCCGAGGGTTCAGTCAGACTGAAGCGTCCCGTGGTTTGTGGGATGAAGTCGTGAAGGTGGAGCAGCGAGGACGCACACATCCGTCCGTCCGTCTCGGCTCTGATAAATTGCGCTGCAGGGAAACAGGAACTTAAGAGACGGTCACGTGAGCCTCCTCGTATTGTCAACCCCCCCTTCCTCCCCCTGACACCCCCTCTACATGCACACGCAAATGCACGCGCACGCGGTGGTTCTAATCTACTATAATTGAATTCAACTCCACTGTGGCTGAAGTCTTTCTGGTCATCTTTCACATGCACACATTAGAAAAAACACATAAAGTCATACTCATAAGTAATGTGATATAAACATTGTTGAAGTTGGGATTGTGTTGATCTTTTCAGACAAGTCTTTTCCACTTTATTTCTCTCCAGTGTGGTCTCTGCTCTGATTTTCTACCAAGTGAGGCGATGAAACATGAAACAGATGGAACAGATGATTATAAAACAAGTTTAACAAACCTTTACAGCAAGAATCAAGAATCATTGCCTGTTCAAACCACCAATAAATCAAATGTTCTAAAGCTGTTAAAAAGATTAGCATGTGATATAATTCTACTATAGTACATGTATAATATATATCTTTAGTATATTGAAACTAGAATGGCACTCGAATGTATACGCCCATCAGTCCTCTTATGAAACCACATTTAAATTCCCTGGATCCAGATTTTATTTTGGATAAGTACCAAATTGCACACACTCATAAATATCAGATCCCTAAAAGTGTCCGTTTATTTTTCATCAAATTTATGAATTATTCTCTGAGAACTCAATGAAAATGTTAAAAATGTAAAACACAATGAAAAAACATTCCTGCCTCTGCCCCCTATTCTGGAGCAATACCAAATTTTAATGGATTCTTTTCTGACCAACACCGCATCCTTCCACCAAGTTCTGTGGTTTTCCATTTAGTGGTTCTTGTGTAATCCTGAAAAAAAAACAAATACAGACAAAAATATAACCCTCAGGGGTAATTTAAATATGTGAAAACACGCCTAGATGGATTTGATGAAATCTCTTTGGATTCCATTGCTCATACTCTTATGAGCATTACTGTGGAGTTGCATTTCAAATGAGTTTGGGGGCTTCAGGTAAAAGGGACCTGCGAGGTGCCTGCACAATTGTTTGTGCTGTGGACTAACACAGCACAAACAACCCTCTTAACTCGAGGTGCTCAAATTGCTTGCCTTGCCATCCCTGTTGCAACGCCCCCGATTAAAATGTATCTATTTAGGTGGATCTATATATATTTTGAGAGTGTGTGCCATTTGGTGAAATCTAAATAAACATCAGGATCTAGTGAACTAAATGTGGTTTCATCAGGGGACTGTTGGGCGTTGCTGGAGGAATGAATTCTCTGAATACCATTCTAGTTGGAAGATGTGGCACATATCACAGCAGAGGTCATCAGGGATCTTCTCTGACGTACTGCTCCGTCACACATGCAGAGCAGAGACCACATGAGGTGAGTGAGGAGCCTGGTGGTTAAATGTGCTCAGGCGTGGCCCAGCAGCACCAACACCACCTCTCATGCTGATAATTGAAGTTCAGGCTGATCTTGGGGGCAGTGCTGTGCTGGGTAAACACATACACAAGCCACTGTTGTTAAAAAGGTAAACTGTATCTGTGACACCCTCCATTTTAGTACACATTTGCATTTTCATATTCCTTGTTGCATCTATTGTTTACTTCATTGCTTCTCTTCTGTTGGCAGAGCTGATGCTGATAATTGAAGACTGATTTGATGGTGAGAGTGTCATCAGTGACAGGAATGTCTTTTACCAAAGACACGCCTGGAGGCAAGAATAAATGAAACACAAGTGAAAAATCATTTCTCCATGCAAATATGTCATGAATATTTGAAACATGGCTGAATTCAGTAAAGAGCACATGCATAATAATCCCTGATAATGATGCTGTCATGGTCTCTGAGGAAAGTTATACAAAACCTCTCAGTTGTGCTGTGCCTTTTGCAACAATGCAATCTTTACTAAATTGTGTGTTGGAATTCCTTTCATGAAGAGAAGCAGATTTTCAGAGGCGTGTGAAGACGGGGACTGAGTGTGTTTCCTGACGCATACTGTCATTTCAGTGTGTTGGTGTGTTTTTAACAGTCCAGGGAAGTCAGCTTTGTTGTTTGTGACCGAAGTTATTCTCAGTTCAGTAGGGAACAGGCTGTTGACTCACAATGACGGGGCACAAACCTGCACACTGACACACTGTGGATTCATTGTAAAGCTCATTACCATCTGCAGCACACAGGCTGTGATGGACTGTTTCAAGCTGGTGGGCAGGGAGGTGTTTTTTGACTTTAGTTATACAATGTGCCATATTTGAAAAACCTATTTATGACAAAAATAAACAAGTTTGGGAGAAAAATCTTCAGACTTTAACTTTCTTTATTATACATCCATGTTTTATCCCTACCGTGCACCCTCAGAAGGTCACCAGGGTAGCTGGAGCCATTACAGTATTACTGAACATACTCTTTTTAATATTGTTGATTAATGTGCAATTAATCACGATGGTCTATCTATCTATCTATCTATTTTTCTATCTATCTATCTATCTATCTTTCTATCTATCTATCTATCGATGTGTAGTTCCAGTGTCGAGTCTGAGTTGTTTATCAGGCCTCTTATCTGTCACCTCCCTGTCTGAGGAGTGAAGCCATCTAAGAGCAGACACCTAACCGGTGACACATCAGACCTGAGCTTTGTTTATCACAGAGAGGTCAGCGGAGGTAACCCTCTATAGTCCATGTATTCCTCCCACCATCCCTCTGTTGCTCACCCCTCTCCTTTCTCTCATCAGGTGTCTCAGGGCAGAACTGGCAAACTGTGACTTCACTGTTTTTCTGCCACAAAGATCCATTGAGGGATCGTTTTACAATTTCTCTCTGTAGAACAAAAGTGAGAAACTGCTCTCATCTCCACACCCAACATTTGAACAAACTCCCATTTGGAGCACAGTCTGGGCCTTAACTCCATCATAGATCGTTTGAATAAAGTTCAACCAAATCAAGTTTTTGGCAGATAAAAATGTCTTTGTGACTCTTGGTATATGCAGCAACTTTATTTTTTTGTTGTGTGTATGTAAGTCCACAGTAAAGTTTGAAACAACTTGAATTGCTTCATTGCTTTTTGATGAGTCAGAGACAGACAATTTGCAACCAAGGTAACCATCTGACCCAAACCAAGGTTGTCATGGTTACAATTTTCTTAAACCAATCAGTTACCTGGACATCCCACTATGACGATTCGTCTAAATACTTCAGTTTTGCTCATATCAAATAAAAGTGACAACATGGACATAAACTAACATGATAATACCTCACATTAATACATGTTGTGTACATATATTTCTGTTTATCTATGTGCATCCTTCATTACCTCTAATAGATTGAATCAATCCTGGTAAATTAGACTCAGTTATACAATAAGTGTGCGTCACACTGCTCTATCTTGGACTTAATGTAAAACCGTACTCGCTACAATGCTGGCTCTGTACAATGAATGAATAAGGGAATAGGACATTATCTTTTTATATAGAAGTACAAACACTTCCATTCACTCATAATTTTTTTGATATGTAGATTAAATACAGATGTACCAAACTTGATATGAATAAGAAATAAGTGATCTTTTGGCTCCGGGCACAAGGTGTACAGAGCTAATATGAAAGTGCTGTCAACTGTCTGTCAATTATGTTGTATGTATTTTCAGCAGCATGAAATGTGACGTGTTTTTTTTTGGGACATGTGACTTCTGTTTATTGTTAGAACTGATTTCAATGCAGGGCAATCAGCTGCAATACCTCTCTCATAGTCACTGATACATATTCCTTACTTTTACGCTGTCATGGAGCGATATGGCTCCCTGGTACAGTACGTGTATTATCTCCCCTAACATGCACATCACTGTAACTGTCACTTCTATTTTCACAAGTAATCCCACACTGAGAGAAGGAGCCTAATAACACTGGGAGAGAATCTCAGTTTAAAATCCCACAGGATTGATCACTCCTGACTGCTTTGAGGATATTCCCTCATGCTGGCGTTCTTGTCTTTTCTCCACATTGCACGTTATTCGGTTGAGTTACATTCAAGTATGGAAGCACCAGGTCTTTTAGTGTTGCTTGGATAACCCCCGAATCACTCAAAGGTCAAAGACGAATGTGGTTGCGTCTGTTTGATCTTCTGTCAAAGCAACGAAACTTGATCTGCAGGATTTTTCTCCCAAGTCTCTTTTCACTGCAGCTACTTTCTGCTTATTCTCTTTTCAGGGGGAAGAAAGCCATGCATTATGCAAACAGTTGTCTAAAGTGTTTATAAGACGGTGAAGTTTTCAGAGTGTCTGACTGTACTCCAACACTGGCCATCTGTTGTGTAGGACATTTCTGACATGAACACAAACACCATGTCTCTCAGACTTCACACTTACGAATGAGTTACTTTCTAAAAACACCGAAGCTGACCTTTGCAAAAAAAAAAAAAAAAATTTCAAATAATTACAATACAGTGTGGAGTGGTATTTTAGAAAACTGTGTTTATTCTGATGAAGTCAATGAGGCAAAGACATTGACTTAAAAAAATGCAAATCATATTTTAGTGCTGTATGTAAATTCAAAATAATCACAACAAATGAGAAAAGTGGTGAGAACAAAGGGAACTGCTCTTTATTTTCTCCCATAGGTGTTTGCTTTGCACAGAATTATCTTCATTTGAGGTAAAAGCTGTTTTTTCCACAGCCCAGACGTTCCATTAATCACACAAGGGAATGTGACAGAGGAGAAGACAGTTATTTTAATCACCTGTCTCTACGTACGCTTCATTAATCACAAATGATAAATGGTGAAATTAGGCAGTTATAGGGGACTTTATAGGATATTCTTTCCTGTTTCACACAAGAATGTTGGAACTGTCCATGGGAGAGACTCAGATATTTTGCTTCCTGAAAATTAATGGCAGTGTCCTGGGCTGTAAGCCATTGAATAACTTAATATTGTTTTTAAATTATCATGCATTATTTCTGTCACTGGGGGGATTTGTATTGT